AAGTCTGCTTCTTATCAAGTACAATTATTTGTCTACGTACAGCCAGCTTCGGCAGAGTGGCAGGTACTGCGCTGCCGAGGCCTGACTGGTCAGCTCGTGCCGTCCCCCAACGTACTGTCCCCGTAGCCTCTGACCAGTGCAGCAGGCAGCCTTCCTGCCAGGGGTCTCGCCTCCCAGCGGCCTCCTTGCTTGTGACTACAGAGGCCTTCCTGTGCTTGCTTGGGATGGGGGTTGGAGGGGCGAAGGACTGGCTGGAGATTGATTCCGAGGCTGGACGCAGGCGCGCAGCCAGTAAGCAAGGAGTTCGGTGTCTGGGGCGCAGTGGGTGAGGAACTGAGTTTAGAGCGCGCTTCTCTTCTCCTCCACCGTGCCCCCGCTGGCCTGCGGCCGGAGCCCAGGGGGATCCTGGCCATTCAAGGTGCTGAAGGTGACAGTGACACAGAGGCAGGTCCAGGGAGCAGGGAGGTGTGGGATCAGCAGGGGGAGAGGGGGCGATCCAGACCCCCCTCCCTGATCAGGACCAGCCCAGTCAAGCAGAGGAGAGGCGGGCTGGGGCCAGGTGGGAGAGGCGATGGAGGACACTGGGCCAGCATCCGAGGTCTGCACCCAGGGAAGCCTTGGGTCCCGGAAGCTGTGGCAGGGTGGGGCTGCTGCAGGTGGTTTTCTGGGGTGCACAGGGCCCCAGCACGCTGGGGTGCCTGAGGCTGTGCCCTGCGCACCCCAGCCAGCCTCTTTCCTGTGTGTATTCCCTGGGGGGCAGCAGGCTGGTGCGGAGCCTGCGGTGAGGCCCGCACTGAGCAGGGAGAAGTGAAAGTGAAAAACTTGGGGTGTCCTGGACACTCCGGAGATGAGGGCAGGGGGGCATGGGTGGCGGCGACCACGGCGCTGACCAGGGAGCCCAGGTGCATGCAGGAGCCGAGTCCTCCCGGCCCCCTTTAACCCCTTCCTGACACAGCCAGATTTGCGACTGCCGGGCTGCCTTGGTGAAGGGGCCAGGAGCAGAGGGCCTCGGGCCGGGTGGAGGAGACCCTGGCTTGGAGAAGGGACACCAGGAAGAAGGCAGGGGTCGCACGCTTCCAGCACAGCAGACCCAGCCGGCCCTGTCCCACCCGCTGCCGGTACTCATCCGCTTGGTGGCAGCACCCCCAACCCCCCGAAGGGAGCCCTAGGCTGAGGACACCTACAAGGGCCCCCTGCTCGCAACCCGCCGCCGCTCCCACCGTCCATCCAGGCAGGGTTTCTCGGACTGACCCTCCCTCCCTGCCTCCTCGATCGCCGTACTGCCCGCTGGCCCCGCGCTCCTGGCCGCCGCCCCAGTCCCCGGTGCCCTCCTGCGGCCCGGAGGGACGCGCCCGCAGCGTGGCCCGACGTCCCGCACGCGGCGCGCGCGCGCGCCGGTGCTGCGGGAACCCGAGGCCCTGCGCTCCGGGCTGCGGGAAGTGTTTCTCCCTCACCTGGACCGGCCCGGCCGCCGCGGCTCCCCCTGCCGGCCGCGCCTCTACTCCCGCGAGGTCGGAGGCCTGGCAGCCAGACGGCCTGGTGAGGACCGAGAAGGCGAAGCGAGGCCGGGGTTGGGGGCGGGTCGTGAGCCACGCGCCCTGGCTGACTTCTGTAGGGAGCGACGCATTGGTTGGGGGTGCGAGCTGCGCGGGCTGCTCGGCCTCTCGCTGCGGACCGAGGACAAGCCGGGGGTGCTGCGAAGCTGGGGAGAGGGGCCCCCGATGGGACCATTTTCACGGCCCTGAAACTGAGGCCGGGCTTTGGTCGACAACCGGTAGGTAAGGGGCGTGGATCAGAGGCATAGTTGAGCGCCCCAAGGCTGGCCCGGGGCTCCTCTCTGGCCTGCGCCCTTCCCGGGGACCCCCGTGGGTGCTGGGCTGCACCCCAGTGCTGCCCCCACCCAGGAGTGCTGGGGGGACTCACCTGCCGCCTTAGCATCTTCAGTCTTGCACCGGGGAGAAAGCAAGCCCTGGATTTCCGAAGCTTCCTCTGCAGACGCGCCCCTTGGAGAATCCCAGCCGCCCCACTGACGGCCCAGCTCCGCCTCCCCTGGGCACACGTGGCTCCCTCAGGGAAGCCGTCCGGCAGGCGCCCTCACGCCCACCCGGTGGGACCCCATTCCTCACTTCCCGGCCATTGCAAAGGCTTGTCGCGCGGCGCCCCATCGCTGGGCAGTCACTCAGCACCTCTCAGCAAGCACAGCCCTGGAAACTGGCGCGCAACCTTCTGTGTGTCTCTACCAAGCGAGCGCCCAGCCCGCGGATCTTCGGAGCTCAGAGGCTCCCCAGAGAAGGCGCGTGGGGGATCCAGCACCCAGCACCGGCCGCAGCCGCTTGGGGACACGTACACACACGGATGGGGGCATGCGCAGCGGCCCACGGGGGACACCGGCCCTGGGACCGGCACCCAGGAGTGTCCCGCGCTCTGTGGACCCGCTCTTCCAGGGATCCCAGCGCTGAGGTGCGCTGCGGCTCTCGGGGGCACACAGGGGAGCGCCACGCCGAGAGGGACGCGATATGATTGACCCCTTTCATTCGTTTCAGGATTGACGGCCCCGGGAGCAGCCTCCAGCGCCTGCCTGGACGCTGCCGCGAGGGTCTCCGAGGAAGGCGCACTGCCCGCCCAGAACAAGCCTGCACCCAGCCTCTGTCTGCCGCCGTCCGCTGCTCCGCCCGGGAGGCTGGGCCTGTGAGCCGGGTCTACCGCGGTGGGCGGCTGGGCCGACCTTCGCCGGAGACGGGAAGGCGGACGCGCGGTTTCGTGCGCGCTGGGGAGAGAAGCTCTGTCCTCTCCCGGCTCCGTCCCCTGCTTTCGGCTCGCGGCCGGTGCAGCGACCCACCAGGTCCCCCTGCGCCCTGCGCGCTCCCCACCATCGTCCTTGCTTCAGTCCCACCGAGGTGCTTGACCCGCGACGCCACCGAAAAACGGGGTGCTCCCGGGGACCGTCGTGGGTGTGCACGGGCAGAGACCCCGGTCCTGGTGGTGGGCAGGCGGGGTGAGGGGGTTGGGGAGCCGCCGAATTTGGGTCCTCTCCCGGCTCTTCAGCCCCCAGCACCCAAGCGGGGGTAGAAAGAACTGCGGGAGACAGCAGTGTATGGAGTGGACAGCGGGCGGTGCGGGCTCCGAGTCCAAGCCCAAGCCCGAGTCGCCCATGGTGCCTGCGGCCACACTGCTTTGGAACACGATGTGCCTGGGTGCTGGGTTTGCAGACCCTCCGGCTGAGAGGCTGGCTGCGACCTGGAGGCGACGCGCAGAACGGGTTTCCCTGAGTCGGGGCAGTGGCGCTTTGCCCCATAGGCAGCCTTGGTCTCTTGGCGCTGCCACTGCTTTGGTGGGGTTGGGGAAGCAGCTTGGGGTCTCCACGGGACTCCTCCTGGCCTATCAGGCACAAGTCCCCTGTTGCACTTTCTCTATGTTGGCTTCTCTCTGGGGGCGTCTGTGCCCCCTCTGCTGACATTTGTAAGCCCACCCCAAGGCATCCTCCTTGTTGTCCAACCTTTACCCACAAATTGCATGCCCTCAGGATGTGGGGCACCCTCTGGGCAAACTGTGGGGTGCTGTCCAAAGCAGGCAGAACCCCAGCCAAGAGCCCTAAGCCCCTGCCTGGGGGAAGGGTCAGGGAATGAGGAGGGAACCTGGCCATGCAGCCCTGATGGAGTTGCTGGCCGAGATCAGGGAGTTAGAAGCAGTTCCAGTGTGTGCACTGCTGTGGCTTGGGGCAGCCACTAGCCGGAGCTGAGGTGTGGGCAGGGAATGGGCTGGCTCCCCCCCCCATCATCTGGGTCTTTCTCTGGTCTCAGGGCGGAGCCTGACCAGAGTCCTAGCGCTTGCACCCAGGGGCAACCTCCGACCAACTGCAGGTGAACTGAGAGATCCCTGAGAGGCAGACACGGGAGGGGGTGACAGCAGTGGCTAGGCGGGGCTAGACAGAGGCACACACCAGTTTTCTCAGAGTGCGTGCAGGAGATGGGCCAAGGGCTTCGTGGCCCGTACAGTGGTCCCCAGCCTCACTGCCCACCTGCCCCTACTGTCCGCGCTGTGTTTCTGGGCAGGAGACTTGATGGTGGGGGGTGGGGCAGGGGGAAGATGGTGAGAGGCACCGTCTGGCCGGATGGGTGATGGCACCCCCTGCTCACCCCCGACCCCCACCCTGGACCCCATGAGCAGCAGGGCCTCCTGCGGACTGGAAGTTCCCACAGCCCCAGAACAAACAAACAAACAGACAGACTGATGGACAGCCAGGCTCTGGGACCCTCTCCGATTTCCAAACCTGTTGACTTAGCTGCCCACTTGGTGGGGAGGACCCAGCCACATGGGGAGCCGGCTGTCCATCTTCTGGCCACGCTGGCCCCTGCACCCCAGCTATCGGTGGAGGCTAAGCTCAGATGCCTGGGCGATCTGATTCAGGCTAGAGAGGGGGCCGGACCTTTGCCCTGCCAGCCCCTTTCTCCTGTCTGTGGTCACAGCAGGGGCAGCCACACCACCCAGAGGCGGGGCACGCCTCTGAGGTGCACTGGCTGAGATGGCGGCTCAGAACTGGATGCGTGCAGGCACTCCGCTCAAGTTTCTCTGGCCAGAAGGCACCCCCCCCCCAACACACACACACAGCTGCGCAGTAGTCCTCACTTGCTCAGGCAGCAAACCACCACACCTACGCGTACACACACTCCTGAGCGGGACACACTCCTGACCATGGGACACCTGCAGCAGACACAGGAGCACACACACACACACACACACACACGTGCTTGCACGCGCGAGCATGGGCGCGCACACCCTGAGCACATGCAGACACACCCGGGAGCCTGGGCACGCACTCTGCACACAGGTGCATGTGAGCATGCGGGTGTGTGCACACTGCCCACATGCGCGTGAGCATGGGCATGCGTACACGCACAGACACCAATGCAGGAGAGCGTGCATATAACAGACGTGCCCACGTGTGCAAGCTTCCACTCACCATCCTGCTGTAAGGTGAAATCCGCGGTGGTGACATGCATCAGTAACTCAAGGGACCTTAGATTTAAAACAATAAATTATTTATATAATGGGAAGAGAGAGAGAGAGAGAGAGAGAGAGAGAGAGAGAGAATCAGTCCTATCTACTAAGTGACTCCTCAGTTGCCCCAGTGGCCAGAGCTGAAGCTGGGAGCTTGGAACGCAAATCCAGGTCTCCCACGTGGGTAGCAGGGACTCAGCTCCTTGCGCCATCACTGCCATCTCCAAAGGTCAGGATTAGCAGGAAGCTGGAGTGAGCAGCTGGAGCTGGGTATGGGATCCAGGCACTCGGATATGGGATGCAGGCACCTTAATTGCTAGCTCAAATGCCCAACCCTAGTGGGATTTATTTATTTATTTATTTATTTATTTTGAAAGATTTATTTGTGTATTTGTCAAGGAGGGAGGGAGGGAGAGAGAGCACACTTCCGTCTGGTGGTTCACTCCCCCAAATGGCTGGGCTAGATTAAAGCCAGGATGCCAAGAGCTCCATCAGGGTCCCAGGCACATTAGCAGGGAGTTGAATCAGAAGTGGAATAGCTGGGATTCGAACCGGCTCTCTGAGACGGGATGCTGGCTTGGCGCTGTGCCATAACACTGCCCGCCCCTGGAGGGGCTGACGTCCTACACACCAGGGACCAGTCCAGGGACAGCTCTCTGTAGGGTGGGGAGGGGGGCAGGGGTGGCACCTGGAGGCCACTCCACTGTCCGCGTTCAGCCCGCCCCTGCCTCTGCCCTGTTCTGAATCTGCCTCAGTGGCCAGTGAGTCCTGGGCAGCTCCGAGAAGCTAGATCCAGGACAGGATCAGAGGCTGAGCAAGGTGACAGCTGAACCAGGGACGCCAGCTCCTGGTGGGAGTGCGCTGCTGGACCACGTTGGACCTGGGCTGGCATCCAGGCCTCCACACCAGGAGGCTGACCAGGCACATGCCCAGGTAGTCTTCCCTGGGAGGCCCCTCGCTGACCTGGGCTGAAGGCAGTGGGACTGTCCAGTCTGGGGCAAGTGGCAAGGCTGCTGGGAATGGCATTTCAAAGGGAGAACTGGATCCCTCCAGGCCAGGCCCCTGCTCCTTAGGCTCTCTGGCTCAAGGAGGAGGGAGGCGGGGTGGTGGTGTGGCACAGCTGTTACATCCTGGGACCAAGAGGGGGCCTCATTCTCACCTTGCATTGCTCTGGCTCTCCCCCAACCCCTATTGCCCCTCCCTGCCTCAGTCTTTTCATCTGTGAAATGGGATGAGTCGAGCAAGCTGTCCGTCTTGGGTCTTGGTCCTAGATGTGTGCTGCCAGCCTCCTCCAGCCATCCCCTGGAATCCCAGCTGGTCCCCACCAACCGGCACCTTTGCCCGCGGCGGCTGCTGTCTCTGTAGGTGCTGCGGACATCCAGACCTGGTCTTGGGGCCTGTGTGAGGGCAAGTCCTCCTTGTGCCCTCCACCCCCAGCCCAGGGAAGCCCAGCTAGGCACCCTCTGCCTGCATTTTCCACCCCTCGCTGCTGCTCCTCCTCCTCCTCCTCCTCCTCCTCCTCCTCCTCCTCCTCCTCCTCCTCCTCCGAGCCTTGCTGAAGCTGGTTGGAATTTCTCAAAAGCAAACAAACAGGCAAGAGCTCAGAGTTGCGGGTTTTCAGAGCTCAGATTCCTCCCCGGGGCTGCCCGAGTCGGCCTCAGGGCTCCTCCCGCCCCCGCCGAAGGCTGCCCCACAGCCGAGCCCCTGGCCCGCCCGCCTGCCCATTGCTAGACAGGAGCGGGGACCCAGGACAGCGCCTGGGCTGGCCAGACCCCACCCCTCTACCGCCAGCCAGTAGGTAAAAGGGGACTGGGATTGCTGGGGACATAGTGGCTGGTGACAGTGACCTGCCCTGGGGGGCGTGGCAGGTAGGAGAGGGCGGGGCAAGGAAGAGGCTTGGTGGGGTGGGGGGACTAGGCAGTGGACCCGCTATCAGGGGAGCTGACCCGAGGCTGATGGGGCAGGGTGTGGGGATGGGGTGGTGGGGAGCAGAGGGGGCCAAGGAGGGAGGGCTGGGTCGAGGGAGGGGGAGGGGGCTCTCGCCAGGTGGTCTTAATCTCCTCAGTGAA